CATATGCACATATGTACGCAAATACGCGCGCGCGCGGAATATATGTTGAATATAGATACGTATGCGGCATTTCTAGCAGGAGACTGCAAAGAAAGATATATGCATGCAAATGAAACAGCGATCAATAAGATATCTGACACTGGACCAAGTCTGTCATAGAACTGCCGAAGAAGAATACCGCCCGATACTCGACTACTTTCTTAGAACTTGATAAGATCGATAACCCTTTGACGCTATATGCTATACGTCTTTCGTGAGCGATGTCTTTCGACGAACGAATACACGCGATCGATGATGTACGAATTATAGAAAAAGCTCAATCTATAGAAAAAGGAGGTCGAGCGAAAAGAAGAGATATATATAAATTATAATAATATCGATTGTTTCGCGATTACATAAAAGGCACCAGAGGCACCAAATGCGTCATCCCTGATCCACCATTATTCGGACGTTTATGTTCTTTTGCGCCGTGTTGCATGAAGCTGTCAAAGAGAGAAACATATGTTGGACAAACCGGCACGAGATGAAGGGCAACGTGTCGCGCTTTTAACAGACGGCCCTTTGTGATATCGTACACTGTCCGAAACATCGCCGTCAGCATATCTGGATCCAATCTAGCTCGTAGCGCTGTGAATGCCTGTGAGCTTGAGTGACAAACGGGCGGCAAAACGGGCGGGTTGTTGTTTACCCTGTTCTAATCACACATACTTTGAGAAATTCGAAATGAAATATATATATATAAATCTCTCGCAACTGCCATCGATCTGCAGGCGATAAAATTTCGCGTTCCAATTTAAATCATGCAGCATTTGATATTGATGAATGCCATTCCTCCGAATAATCTCTTGAGAGAGAAAGAGAGAGAAAAAGAGATTTACTCGCGTAAGCTTTCCAAGCGACAAGTGCTTCATTCTCTCCATATTCTTTCCAGTTGCCGTTCCATTTCTGCAACACGTCCACCTGCAAGCACTCGTGCGTTTTGTTTCGCGATGGTCACGGCACGTTTACGCTTACGTACAGTGAATCCTCGCGATCGTCTCAACGATCAACGGTTCGGATTACCTCGAATATCTTTCCGTGGCGTGTAACTTTTCAAGCGCTATTCTTGGAATAGCGTATCTGCGTCCGCAATATTTTCATCGTGCGTCGCGTTTAGCACGCGATACTGTTGTTGCGTTTCTCGCTCCGCGGAAACGCGAGTCTTACATTAGGCAAATAAGACGGTTACTACTTTATCGCTGAACGCGCCACGAGGAAACGAGAGCGACTTAATATAACGACGGAAATTATTTTTAGCTTATATTATAATTATACTCGATTTACCATCAGAAGCTGCCTTCAGCTAATAGCACGCGGTATTGTTTTTGTAACTATAGAGCGAAATGTGTTCCAGCACATGGAATTATTATTTACATAATTGACGATGAAGATAGATAAAAGAATAGGTAAAAAAAAGCATATATAGACAATTTAAGCTAGTTTTCAGCTAGACTTGATAAAGATTTCAGATTCATTTCAGATTTTGATTTAATAATTATGTAAGAATTAGATTATAATAGAAAGAATTGTTTAAAATGAATTGCAACTTTTTTATCGCTTGAGAATGTGAAATGTCATCGATATTTTTGTCGTCGCGACTCTAATCAAATCTTTATTGAAGAAATAGTAGACGATTTGAAGGAGCTGTTATCGCGATTATTATGTCTATATTGAGCTTATGTTATTTTAAAATATAATATATAATACATAATACATATATAATATATGATACATTATAAAAGAAGTTTTTGTTTACTTTCATGTTTATTCAAGTGGCTCGTATATATATATTCATATATACTATACTTTTAATTTGATGGCAATTTTAAATTTTGACATTTGACCTTATCTAGTGAAATAAAGATTAAATACTGGTAATATATCGTGACGTATGGCGATGTAATCCGACCGAAACACAGACATAATTATGTAAGTCGAGCGTCCGATATTAGAAGGCGGAATATTTACTCCGCAGGTCTCATTTCACATAGGAGGACGGCTTTACGAACTGCCCCATATATCGAGGATATTTTTATCGATGAGCCGTTTTACATGCGCGGCTGAAGACAAATTTGACTCTTGGACCCATGCGTTGTCTAGGAAAGCATGGCGCTGTAAACAGGTCACGTAACATTTAACAACAGTTAATCTTAGATTATCCTTTTTTAATTGAAATTACCCTCTATGAACCGAGTTTTTAATAATAAATCACGATTAATCGTGCGTCAAAAATGAAGTTACTTGATTTCACTGATCGCAACTTTATTCAGTTCCATTATATTTAATTTAACGGAATTGTATTTTTTTCGCAAATTGTATATATCGTTTGATTTATCGTTTGATCATCGATTGTGCTACATTTGTCCGTAATGACTTGTGAACGGTGAATCATCACCTGTTCACTTCGCAGGTCGGACACGTCGTTCCAGAATGTTGCATCGCGGCATGTGAATTTCTATTCGCGCCACGCCCGCGTTATTATCAGTTTGTAGAACTTTACAGGTCGCTGATAACG